GACATTTAAAAAAAAAAAAAAAAGAAAGAAAAAAAGAAAAGAAAAGAAAAAAGAAAAAGAAAAGGCGCCGGTGCCAGATATACAACAGTTGTAAGATAGCGCTGGGAACACGGGCGGACACACGGACACACACACCCTTGGGTGGAAAATGTGCGGATCCCGAAGATAAATAAAGAAATCCTCTTCCTCTTTTCAGCACCACCAGCGCGCGGACAGCTCCCCGTCAGCCCCGCCGCCCGCTCCTGCGCTCGCCCGGGCGCCCCGGCGTCCGCAAGTGGCTGCGTCTCACCCCCAAAAAAAGAGGGGAAAGAAAGAAAAATTCTAATAAATAGACCAAACGGAGCTGACTCCCTTCCCTGCCTCTCTCTCTTCTCTTTCCAAGAGGTTTTATTATTTCTTTCCCTGCCCCCCCAGCCTGCCGCCTCCGCCCCCGGGCCAACCAAAAATGAAATAAAATGAAATGAAGTCGAAAGGAAAGAGAGAAAGAGAGACCCAGAGAGGGAGCGGGAGCCTGCCTTCTTTTCCCGATCTCTCCCGGGAAAGTTCAGGAGGTAACTCACCTTTGTGCATGCCAGTGAACCTGTCCTTCAGCACCGTCAGTTCATAGATCTTCCCGAACTCCTCGAAGAGCGGTTTGAGGTCTTTCTCGTCCAGGTTACGGGGGATCTGCCCAATAAAGAGCTTAATGGCATCGTGGTCCTTCATTGGGATGGTGGATGGGTTTCCGGGACTATGGTTTAATCCGTTCATATGCCCGTTGGTGCTGGGGTTGCTGTGATTGCTACTCAGGCTGGTATTGTCTGGTTGTCCGTTTGCTAACGTGGCCATCTTTATATACATAGAGAAAATCTTCTTTCCTTTTTTCCCCCCTCTTCTTTTCTCTCTCCCTCCCTCTCTCTCCCTCTCTCTCTCTCTCTCTCTCTCGCTCTCTCGCTCCCTCTCCCTCTTTCACACACACACACACACACACTCACACACACACACACTCCTCCCTCTCCGTCTCTCTCTCTCTCTGGGTCTGATCTGATTTTTTTTTTACATTGAAGATCTGTGTCCTTTCCGTTTAAACAGGCTGGATCGGTTCAAATTCCCAGCCAGACTAGGGGGTGGGGTGTGAGTGTGTGGATGTGTGTGTGTGCGGGGAAGGGAGGCTGGGGGTGGGGGATTGCTTTTGCCTCTGCTCTGGCTAAACCCCCTCCTCCCATCCAACCACCCCCCTGTCTGTCTGCCCGGGAGAAGCTTAATGGTATCTTCCAACACAGCCCCTGGCTATAAATAGCACTAGGCGCATGGCTCTTAGAGAGACAGTCAATTTCTATTGTGCCAAGTGAGCAAAGGGGAACGGTTGCGTTTTTAGGACCAATGATGATGATTTTTTTCTTTCCTTTTCCTTTGCAAGCCCTCCGATCAATCGCTGTCGTTATAATTTCAGTGATCATCGGGAAATCTGCCTTCTTATTTGAGAGGGGGAAAAAAAACAAACCCAAGGTGTTCTGACTTCTTCCTATTATGATCGCTCTTATTTATTATTTACTCTTATTATGATTTCTCAATTGATAATAAAAGCAGTTCAGATACGGACGAATCCTCCGCCTCAGAGGTTGCTTTTGCTGTTGTTGTTGTGGTTGTGATGTTACAAGCTCTTTCTACTATATGTTCTTGTTGCATCTAAAAAAAATGCATGCTCTTTAAGCTCTTTTTTAAAAAATTATGCTGATGATGATGACATCAAGCTAGGAAAGGCGCAAACTGTATTGTTGTAGCTCTTTGGAGGGAGACGAAAAATATCGAGATGACTATTGTTAATGTTCATGCTGCCGATATTTATTTTACATACAGTCAGTGCGGGCGTTATCTCCTATACTAGCTCCGTGTGGTGTGTGTGTGTGTGTGTGTGTGTATTGGAAAGGGATTGATTAGATAAGATTTTCTTGCCCGACTTTCAAGCCATCAGGATATTCTGTCTCTCTCTGATGGAAACATAAATCGTATTTTGTAGTCATCAGGGATCGGGAGTTGCTTGTCCGAACAATGCTCTCCAGACAAAGTGTACTGTATGGTGGAAATGAAATCAGCTCTCCTTTCATAGCATCTGGGGGTGGGGAGGGCAGGGAGCCTCGGATTAAGGACACAACTCCCCCTTGTCCCCCAAATAATAATAACAGTAATCCGGACAGTAACAAAACAAGGCTCTGCGTGTGCTCTGAGCAATGCCTTTATTTTATTTCTTTCTTCTCCTTTCCCCCGGTTCCCGAGCAAGCTGCGCGGGGATGAAGCTCGGACAAACACCGGCTCGGAGCAGCGTTGAGAGTTACCTGCCCTGAACCCCCCCGCGCCCCGGCCAGGCTGCAGCCGCACGGCGCCCGACCATCTCC